TTGACCTCCTTTCACTGGTTTCTCATCAGCTATTAGAGGGTTCTTTAAAATATTGCATTTCTAGAAGTGTCTGTATACTGCACAAGTGACACAACCTCTCCCAAAGACTCCCACTTTGGTCTCTGAATGCCTGGAGCACGTCTATTAGGAATCCCTGCCATTGTAAGTGGATCCACTGGAAGGAGCAGCCAACTCACGTATTGTGATGTAAATGGTGCTGTTCCACACCCAGCACTTTCCTCCTCTTAAGTGTTTCACAAACACTGACTAATTAATAAAATCCTCTATTCAGTGCTGCTGGGGGGAAGTTGTAAGGGAGGAGCATGAGTGGTTTTTCACATAAACACATGTTAATTTTTATCCAAAGCTAAGAAGAAAGAAACAAAAATGTCAAGAGTTGAATACTTACTGTGTCTGCCGCTTTCACATTATTTTATTTAAACTTCACAAAATATTTGGCAGGAGAAGAACCTTGGCTAAAAGATCTTCTTATCATTTTTACAGATGGTGAAATTTCAGCTCCTGAAGATAGTTTTCTGATAGTTATAAGGAGTGGGGAGAGGATTAGAACTCAGGCCTGCTGATTCCCAGGGCTCACCCTTTTCCTGCTACTCTGCAGTGCATAGAGTAGAAATTTAGTCTTTTTACTGTATTACTCGTTATCATTTTTATTGGTAACAGCAAGTATTAATTTTTATGACCATAATATTTCAAACATACAAATGTCTCAATCTTTGAGGCAATTCGAGTTCTATGCAGCCATTCTACTCTTCCTTGGGTCAGAAATGGTAAATATTTGGATTTGCTATTAGAAGTCATTCTGGTCTCATTTTGGTCTTAAAAGCAATTTTTCATGGGTTCACACTCTTGGTCTGGTGAAAATATGGAACTGAAAACAATGCTTTCTTTATCCTCAAAAGTCTTACTCATGACACATGACATGCCAGATGTTCTGGTCCATGATAAAAAACATTCTTAATTTTGAATGGAAGAAAGCCGGTCTGGTGATTGGGACACATCCTTTACTCTTTCTTTTCTTCTATTAATGTCATTTTCACTTACAAAGAAATGGGACTGTGGCTTCTCATCCGTATACCATTCCCCAAAAGGAAGAGCACTGAAGAGATATTTCCTGGGCACAAGACCTATGGCTCTATCTTAATTTTCACTGTTGATTCAAAGCATTTCCCTGGGCAAATATGGTTCCCATTGCTGTTCAATATTTTATACACAAAACAGACTGGGATGGGTCTCATTCACTCACTGCTTCCCTTCTGAGCCGCTGGCTGGGAAGCAGCTGGGACAATGAAAGGAAGGTGTTAACTGACCCCCAGGTAAGACCAGGTACTATAGTTCTGCCTTTTTAATTGTAACATGCTAAACTTGAGGTTTAAATAGACGTTGAAATAACCAAAACAAAACAGCAACAGTGATGATCCAGAGGATACTGAGGTTCAGAGCCTGTCCCCACCGTGCCCCGGAAGGGGCAGGGGTGGGGTGCACACCCACTCTGTGGGGCTTGGAAGCACAAGCCATTGTTGAATCCAGTGAGCCTCTGTCACATGTAGGCAAAATACAGACTCGTTCAATTGTTAATTTTTTATAGAGTAACTGACTGATCTGTACCAAGTACTGGTCTAGCTTAAGACTGGAGTAGTGAGGTGAATAGAACAGAAACAAAAGTTCAGCATTTTTGGAGCTTCATACTCTAACGTTCATATGCTTTTTTCCCTTTAATCATATTAACAACAGTATATAACTATATAATAAAGATATATACAAAACACACACACTCTCTGAAATAAGCATTTCTGCTAGCATGGTACATGGTTCTAGACACTCTTCTCAAACTTTTGACAGTTCCAGACGCTGGCCCAGTACCCTGGTACTTATCAGCTGTCTTTTCATTCTTGCCTAATTGGTCTCCTTGCCGCCAATATCCTCTTGCTCCTACCCATAATCCACCCTGTAGTTAGCATGTCTCTCTTTGAATTAAGGCCCTCTGAACAAAGGGTCAAGAAAAAGACAAAACTTACAAGCTAACCATAGATCAAAGGCATGCAAGCAGGGAAGCGGGGGGAGAGCACAAGGGACTATGGTGATGGGTTGCGGGTGCCATGGTGGTGGGGGAACTATGGGGACTACACCTGAGGGGAGAAATCAAATACTGTCCAAAATTAACAGTGTAAGAAAATAAATATAAAGAAATTAATTTTAAAATATCTTGTTACCTGAGGCCTCCCTGGTGGCATAAGGGGTTAAACACAGCACTGTGAAGCTGTCCGCAGCCTCTGCAGCATGAGTTCGGTCCCCAGCCAGCTGGGAGCTACCCACATGGCGCAGCAGACCTCTCCTGACTCGCCCGCTGCTCTCTTTGGCGGTGTACTTCAGTAGTCTGCCTGTTCTGTTCCCCACTCTGTCTCTGGTGAATGCTCTCACCCCCCATACCTCTGGCCTGTACCCCAGCTCTTGTAGACATAAATAAATAAATCTTCAAAAAAAATCTTCTTAACCAATGGCATAGTCTTACAAGTTAAGACTAAACTGTCTGGCATGGTGAGCACAATCCCTTAGGACCTACTTCCATCTAACTCTTAAAGTCTTAAATCTCATCACTCTCTCACATTCAGTGCCTTACAGCCACTCTGAACTTCCTGCAGTTTGGTAAATGTCTAAAGTCTTTGAGATGCACATTTGTGATCAAGAAGTTCAGTGTTGTATCTAGAATAGGAATGGAATGTGTATTCCTGTAAAATCCCCCAATTCCACTTCTGGAATTCCATCTGAATATCATGAAAATCCACAAGGGATAAGGTCCAGAACCAATGAGCAAAACACCCTACCAAGAGATTACACCAGTCAGAGATCTCTTCTTCCTTCATTTCCTCCTATCTTGAGTCTCTTATGTTTATTATATGAGCCATATTATATTATCGACACATTTCATCTTTTTTTTTTTGATTAGTTGACTGACAACATAATCCCTAAGGAGTGGATTCTCAAAGTGATGCTATTTTCTATCATTTGTGACAGATCAGCTACCTCTCCCACATGACAAGGCAGAGCTGCCTCTGGGGATTAGAATTCAGTCTGCTTGTTCACTCCTTCCAGAAGCGTTCGGTGGGCACCTCAGACACTGAACTCGGAGCTCCACAGAGTGTATTGAGATAGATATGGTCCCTGTCCTTAGGAGTTTCATTCTGAAGTGGACAACAAATGCATGCAAATTATGCAAGGACACAAAGGGAGATCAGTTAAAAAAGTAAGTGGGATTGCTTTGAGTTTGATGGCCTGAGTTTGATCCCCAGCCAGGGAGATGACCCACATGGCACAGCAGACCTCCTCCTGTCTCGCCCGCTGCTCCCCTCAGCAGTGTATTTCAGTAGATCCACGTGTTCTGCTCCCCACTCAGTGTCTGTTGAATCCTCTTAACCCCCGCACTTCTGGCCTATACCCCAGTTCTTCTACACAAAATAAACAAAATTTTAAAAAATCTTAAAAGAGTAAGTGGGAAACTTCCATGGTCAGACATCAGCAAAGGCCTATTTGGGTAGATGACAGTTAGCCAGAGGCCTAAAGATGAGAGAGCACCAGGGTGCAAAGATCAAGGAGAACAGCAGTGTTGGGGGGAGCTGGTCATCACACAGAAAAGCATAACCAGGCCTCCCTGGTGGCACAAGGGGTTAAGATGCAAACAATGAAGCTGTCCGCAGCCACTGCAGCACGAGTTCAATCCCGGCCAAGTCACCATTCTCCTGACTTGTCTGTGCTCCCCTCAGCAGTGTTTTTCAGTCACTCCACCTGTTCTGTTCCCCACACTGTCTCTGGTGAATCCGCTCACCCCCACACCTCTGGCCTGTACCCCAGCTCTTGTATGCATAAATAAATAAATCTTTAAAAAAAGAAAAAAAGTAAAGCATGACCACAGTGGCTTTGTGGCTCAGGGATTAGAAAGAGTATCTCACCCACTTGCATAAGGAACACAATTCATGTAGTTTGAAGGCAGAAATGAGATAATCCAATGATAAGTATGCTTATGAGTGTTCTGGTTGAAAATCCCATTTAGGGTCACATTCCTCTAAATATACTCTGTGAATTTCCCTTTATATGTCTTTGTTCACAATGGCCTTCTTATCACCAGTGCTCACCATCAACCTCAATTCCAAAATTCCTTCCATTCTTCAATCTAACCATTCTTTAAAGGCCCAATCCAACACTGCCTCTCCCATGGAACTTTCCCTGACCATCCCAATCCTCCATGTTTCATCTCCTCCAAGCTCCTGGATGAGCTATCTTCTGCGGATTATTTCTTTTAAGGGCATGTGTCTTGCTCTCTTTCTGCGACTTCAGAATAGGCATCAAGTCTTTGTGTTCAGCCTCTAATTCTTTGCCCAGTGTCTGATGGATCAGTTATAACATTTGTTCAACAATTTCCAATCTAAGCAGACCACGCACCTACATCAGAATTCCTTGTAGGCAGCAGCTCTCCTGCCTGCCTGTGACTATGCGGGCATCTCTTAGCAAATCTGTCCCTTTCAAGGGCAGCTCTTGCTGCCCGTTTGTGTCTGTGCAAGTGCCCTTGACCTCCCTCCCTTTTTATAATAAGCCTGCACTTTTGAAAAAAAAAATATATATATATATTTAAAAAGAATTCCTGATGGGTAAAATCCAACACAGAACTAGGCTTCTTTGAGTTTTTATGAAGGAATTTGATCAGATAGCATAGATGTATAGATAAGGACGGAAAGATGCCTAAAGCCAGGCACTCAGACCTTCTCTTCATGAGCATTTTTGAACATTTTTCATGTAAATGAGAAAATCACCAAACTTAAGAATAAATCCCAAATTGAATATTTTCCCCTTCAAAAAAAAACCCATAGTTCCAATCATTTTTACAGTACAAAAATTTTATTTTTTGTTAGGATAATTTAAAGTTTAAAACTGAAGTAGACATATTCATTTTACAAACAAGATATTCTTTCATAAGTAAGACCATTAAAAACAGTAAACAAAAAAAGCTGTCTTTACAAAAAGCTCTGTGCATAGCAACTTTATACTGTATATAACTGACAAAGCAAAACAATAAAATGAAACTATACAGTTTGAAAATGAAACCTTACTGTACAAAAGGTAGAGAAGATAATGGTTTTTAAACCATGCATATTGAAATGTGCAAAGAAAACTGGGAAAAATTACGATGCTATAACCAAAAAATGAGATAAATAATGAAGCAAATTGTTCCTTTAAATGAAAAATCTTACACAGCTCCTCTTACAAAGATAGGATAGAATTTGTCGTTACCTATAGAAATACTTGTATTCCAAGTGGCACAAAATAACCTGGGACAGGGAGGATTCAACAGCAATGACTAAAGAGGAAGAGGACAGAGTTGCTTTGTTTTCAATTTATTAGTACACTAAAAATAATCCTTACACACATTTGTACAATTATATAGATCTGTTGCTGCCAAGGTTCTAGCTGAATGGTCAAGGATGTCTGGTATTTAGTTACACACATTTTTCGGTGTAAAGCTACCAACAAATTCTACAATCATTTTGAAGACAGTACTGCACTCATCTTCATGCAAGAGCAAAATTCACAGGTTCTAAAAGCAATGCTACTTTAAAAAAAACATTTCCTTATGTTGGATTGGCTCAAATCCAGATCTAAACATGCTTAATTTTGTTCTGCCTTCACTTTAGGATGGGAATGTCTATATTCCTCAGATTTCTCCCCACCCCTCAGGTTTTTCACCAGGAACTCCCCTTGTGTGTGTCCCTCTGTTTTGGTGCTTTAAGTCCTGACTCTGAGAATCTGTCACCAATAATTATAAGCAAGTCAGGTTTCCAAAACCTTGGATTCTCGTGTGCATAGAAACAATATTTGGGTCATGTTAGTTGATTCCATAACAGATTAAAGGCAAAATAAGACCAGTGAAGGTTGGATAGGTATGAGCATGTACCCAGGGGCAAACATAAGGGAGGCAGAATTTATGGAGTTGTCCAAAATTGGCCCAGACGCAGCACCAATGTTTTTCCATGACAGCTGCATCAAGAACGCCAAACCCAAGTCTGTGTATAGACTCTACAGTGATGCCAAGGACTCAGCAAGGAGAACCCTGGCCTGGAATAAAATGGCATCCTTATTGGCAGTCCAAATGAGTCTAGATACATCTTCAGGATCACACAGGCTTTCCAAATTCAGCCAATGCTAGCAGATCCTGCAAGGACTTTCCTCCTAAGAGCTAGTCCCAGGACAGAGCCCATCACAGCGCCGGGTGACTGTGCTGCATAAAACACAGATGCCCCTCATCTCTGACCCTGGCAGGATTCTGGAACGCTCTTTCTTCAAACATCAGAAGAGGATGTAGGGCTTTTAACATCCTCTTCCACTTCCTACCCTACTCTTACCTAGAAAATGTGTCAAGTTGGATACATACTATTCCCAAGAGGTTTCAAATGCAATGAAAGAGAAAATCTACAAAGAAGAATGTGGGTATTTTAATATCAATGTTTAAGGGTCCAAGAAACAGAGTTGTCTTCTTCAAACCCTACTTCTGAAGCTCTGCGGTGGGGCAGGTAACCAAAGAAGAGGAGTGTGTGGCTCTGTCAAGGGGGAACTCCAAAGGGGCTGCCTGGATGGGAAAGTCACGTGGCTTTGAATCATCTTTAAGGTGAAATATTTCTTTCTCTGGAATGAAATTTAGAGAGAAATTGTCTGCACTGTTCATGGGGGGATTCTGAGAGCTAATATAACTTAAAAAATAAAATGGTGACTACCAAAGGGGCATAGAGACTATTTAGAAAGCAGACGGAGCTGGGGATGAATTGGTGGACTCGAGTATTCATGTATGTGCATGAACTTGAATCTTTGTTTCTGCATCAGCTTGTCTGTAGGAATTACATGAAGTACATGTTCCATGGATCAATCAAATGATGGAAAAAGAGGGGGATGTAGGGAGGGGGATAAGAGTCTAGTAAGTAACTGTAGTAATAATCACACACTGTTTAAACTTGTTACTACATTTTGCATCATTTTCATTTTACATCAGGAAGAGAAATTTCTTTCTTCTCCAAAAAGGTCTTAATCTCTACTTCTACTTACAATAAGTTACACGTTTATTTATTTAAATAATTGTAAAACATTTTAAAATTTTTCCCTTTTTTGTTTTTTTTTTTAAGAGATTAAACTATAAGCAAACACACATACAACAACATTTTATCATTCAATTCAGGTTTCGTTTTAAGAAAGTCTTCCATGCTGGTACCCTGTTTTGTTCATTTTTTTTTTCTGCATAAACTAAATTGGTATCTGAAAGGCTTCATAGAAAATAGAAACTTTCAACTTTTTTTTCCTACAAAGAAAAACAAATAGTATCCAAAATATTAAGCATGAATTGTTTGCCAATTTTTTTCTTAAATATTTTACAAACATAGGAAGGTGGTTCTCATAATGTTCATAACAAAGAATTGCATTTCTGCTCTTAGCACTGACTACGTCAATGACATCTTTTGTCCTTCCCCACAAAAGGGTGAGTTTGTGTAGCCACCATCAGGGCCACATGAGGAACATGAGACCAGGTGAGATGCAAGCTCCTGGATACCCAAGTCTGTCCATCATGTTCATTTGGGGCCTCAGCTCTCCCTAAGGAGCTCAGAGTGTTTTCCTCATTATTGGTCCATCAAAGTAAGTAGTTTTGTGCTATAAGAAAGCAGTTCTTCCTCTTCTTTACATCGGGGGCACGACTAGTCCAGTCATGGCTGCAAGGAAAAAGGCAGAGAAATGAAATTGGGAGAGACTACACTCAAGCTTATAACCCAGAGAGAGGGACAGGGGGTGGGATTGACAATCTTTACAATCGGAGGAGGTGCTGACCTCAGTGGAGGTGAGAGCCCATTTTCTCCAGATTTGACCTAGCAGACAGGTTATTAGAAGCATCAAAGACCCACCAAGCTCCTGAAATGCAGACAAAGCTCGGTGGATTTTGCTTGAGAGGTCAAGAGTTATGTTTTCTTTTGTTTTATATTAACGGGTTGTATATGTGACATGATAGATATAAACATACAAACTATATTCAATATATGTAGAAATATATTTTTCATCATTATTCAAACAGTGCATAAATGACAGGGTGCCAAATCCCTCAGCTGGAATAGGAAAGAAAACTCCAGAAGCTGATTCCATTGGGCTGCTTACTGGGCATGTATAACAAATCTTACTTTCTTTCCATCCTAAGTTTCAACCCATTCCAGTTGAAATTGGTTTAGCTTACATATTTTTCTGACTAGCTCATCTTCCCTTGGGGCTCGCTGCTGACACGGGGTGTTCATTCACTAGTAGTGAATGCTGAGGCATGGGAATAGAAGGCTTTAGTTCTTAATTTGGGAGTCACCCCCACCTCCATACTTCACCCCTATGCACATACAGTGTCCAATGTCTCCCCATTTGGTCGAAAGAATACAAATAAGGCTATCGGGGGTCATCATGTTCCAGGATTCTCCTTGACAAGGAAAATAAAGCAGGCTCGGCACAATGTGGAAAAATCATGCAGCAAAAGGCACTCCCCTGGCCTTGGCATTTAGGTAAAGAACCCTTAACAATTTTGTCATTTTTGGAAACAGGCAGCATCAAAACTTCAAATCATATCCAGAATTTGATTCCTTGAGTGTTATTATTCGTATGTCATCTAGGGCTTATCAAACATCATGGGGCATTTACTGAGCTGTGATGATTAAACTAATAACCAAATGACCAAAATTCTTCCTGCTGCTCCCCATCTCCACCCTCCCTCGCCCTGCTTTCCTTCCTTCTCTCCGTGCCGCCTACTCTTCCTGGGCAAAATTGTCAGCCATCTATTTCCCTGCCCATACAGCCTTTATTGAATGTTTGTGCGATCTGGATTAAGGTCTTACACAGCAAGCAAAGCCTTAATTATTTTTGCCTGTATTACTATATATTGAATCGATGTAACTTTTCAATAAAGGCAGTTCAATTCTGGACACTCCCTGATGATTTGGAGATATAGCAACCCTGGTAATTATCCCAGAGTGTAGGAGGTTATTTTATTTTACTTTTTTCCTGGAGGGAGCTGAAAAATGAATCAGGCATATAGTATATAATATTATCTTGACAGTCTATACTCATCAACTGTTAATGCCTGATGAGTGAGGTAGAGGGTGGGACAGGGAACACAGCAGACAGCTCCCTGGCAGTGGGGTTCTGAAATTTTCAACTTTATCTCGTCTATTACACTTAAAACTCATCAGCCTCCTATCTAGGGTCCTTAGAGAGATGCCTAAGGAGTTTATTAAAAGGGCAGTGCTGCTGGAAGAACAAGATCTATTGCATGCTAGAAGAACAACATATTTCACAGACTTTCCTTCCTAGTCTCACATTGGGCACAGCGTGGGCTGGATCTAATCACGCTGACCTCAACGTTCTGCCTGTAGAACCTACAGCCAACACACAGAAAGCAGAAGTTGGGCGGGGAAATGGAAGCATTTTCATGGGGTGAGGGGATGCATCGCTGTACTTTGTCCCATTTCTTTTTACATTTGACATTTCATGGGAAAGCAAGACTCTACTCTGGTGAGTTGGAAAGCAGGTATGGGTAAAGGGTGAAGACTCACACTACTCTTGTCCTAAGAGAAATAGCGGCTGTCAGCACACAGGCCCTGGGGTCAAAATGTCTGAGTTCATGTCATGAGTCACTTGCTATGTGGCCTTGGGCAAGACACTTAACGAAGAAATGGCGATCATGGTATGGTCTTCCCCTTCAGAGCACACATGAGGCTGGGACAAGGGCATGTGCTCATGTCCTGCGCATGGTGCTCGCTAATGGTCAGCAAGTATTAGAGATGCTTAGAGTCTTAGAGATGCACCTGGCCTCCCTACCACCTTGGCCCACGTGCTCACCCTCCCATTGTTTCTAAAGAGAAGGAGCTGCCTGCTTACGCACCCCTGTTGTCCAGCATCCTTCCCTCAGTGAGTGGGTACAGAGTTCTGTGTCAGCTGGGATCCCTCCCTCTCAGCATCAACAGACACCTTGGAATGTTGGGCTCTCGGCTCCTGTTCACCTGTTCTGAAATGAGCAGCAACAGGAGACAAGCCCTCTGAAAGGCTCTTTCTGTCAACATCCGCTTCCCTCCTCAGGTTTCCCTCCCAGCAATGGGAAGGAAAGCAATGTCTCTGATGAGAGATGGGGCAGGTGGAGGCCAATGCCTACAGTCAGAGCTACAGTCTGAGCCTGCTTCTCTGTGGACCAGACATCTGGATGAAAACAGAAAATACCCTCAAATGTACGGATGCTTCCAACTAGCCACATGTGGTGGTGGTGTGGAGACCCAGCTGCTTTGTTTAGTGGGAAGTAAAAGAATTCCCAGGGAGAGGTCTTCAGTTCTCCCTTGAAAGAAGCTCTGCCAACTTGCTTGACTTTGAGGAGTCTCATTGTCTCCAAGGACAAGATGGTCACATCGGGGTGCCTACAGGAGCTCGACATGGCCGGAACTGGCAACGGAGCCCTTCCAGGCTTCCCCAGAGGCCAGAGAGCCAAGCACTGTCTCTAGAAGGGATAGGGCCAGCACAGCTCATGCGCTGTGGACCTAGGAGGCTTTTGTTTCACAAGGGGTTAACCAAACCTCTGCCCTTTTTGGTTCTATCCAACTCTATTTGTGGTGGATATTTTCATGTCAAGACTCAGAGGAGCAGCCTAAAAATAATGTGTGTCGTCAGGCACCATAGTGCTCAGCAGTTTCCAATTTGCTCTTTTGCCACCAGCTGCCTCCCATTCACAGTGAGATGATTAGATTCTCATGTACTCATCACATTTGTGTTATGTCATGTCATATTAAATTTTAGGACATTGCTCAAAAATGGGTTTGACAGGTGATATTAATTTTTGTTCTTAGAAACAGTATGTCTTTTTTCCTTTCTTTCTTCCCTACCTCACCTCCCATCAGGCACCTGCTATCAATTTGACTAGCAATGTAGCCAGAATTCTCAGAACTTGCTGGTTGCTCCTGGTGGTTCATGCCCATTTGTGCCACAGGATGTGTGTGCACTGCAGATGGTAAGCTGATGAGGTGCAGGATTCACCAAGTGGCATATGATGTGCCCAGGCACCTTCAGGAAATAGTGGCATGACCTTGTGGGAAGCAGGGGCATCCAGACCCTCCTGGAGGGTATGTCTGGCTCCACAACAGTTAATTCTGGGACCTAGCAGACACGCTGGCCAATTTCTCTGTTTCCCCCCATCTTGCTCTTGGATGAAATACTAGCCCAGTTGTACAAGCTGTTCTTGTCCTACGAGAGAGCACAGCAGAGCATCTCTTTGTAGGCCAGAGACACAAGGGCATGCTGTGCTGTTGCTCCTCCTCTGCCTGCCCATGGCACAGGTGGTGTGCTTACTCCCAGAATGGCACCTTTGCTTACCTCTGAATCCATTTCCATTGCCACTGGAGCAGGCGGGCGAAGGGGAGCCTTGGGGCCTGATGACAGGGGCAAAGGCACTCTTCTGTTTGACAGCAGGAAAAACCGAAGAGGAAAACGGGAGGATGGAGGACGTGCTAGAAGATCCAACAGTGGGGCTTGATGACATGACTGGAAAGCAAATGCACAATCCTTTTAGAAAGGGCACAGCTAGGAGTTAAGTTCTCTAGTACACACGCTGCACACATTAGCTGAGAAATTACTAACTTGTTCCGGACATTGCTCCAGATTCCGGGAATGAAAAAATGTTGATTGAGCAACAGCCCTGCCCTGTCCAGTAGGGGGAGTAGACAAAACAGATAATAGAGTGATAATCCTCCAGGAACCCACACAGGGTGCGGGGGACCCAGCGGTGGAGTGCTCTTCTACCAGGGGGAGCTGGGAGGGCATCGCAGGAGGTGATATTAAAGAGGTCTCAATTCATGAGTAGAAGCCATTGTCTGAACACTCAACACATCTACTCAAACACATCTACTTTTTTTTCACCCTAAAAAGAAGTCCTATCGGGGACTTCCTTGCTTCCTTGGCCACTTTCAGGGCCCTGGAGGTTTGATGTACAGGATTAGTATCTTCTCTGAGAGGCCATCTCTATGGGCCACTTCTTCAAGAAAGAGAAAAGTTTATTACACTAAGGAGATTACCCCTCTGCCTCTGCTTTCAGAGCTCCTGGGAAATGAAGCTGCAATTCAAGCTGCTCTGATGTAATGTGCAGAAAATATCACCAATATTAACAATATTAACACTAAAATTATTTAAAGGAAGCCAAAAACTAAGTGTTTCAATTTCCAAGAAAAATAAAGGCAATTTACACAAAAGTGCTCCACCTTTTAATGTCAGATATGCCACCAAGTTACATCACACAAGAAGATAAATTTATTTTCAATGTTCCACTTGTTCACGAAAGGGGTAAATTAGAGTTCACAGGGTAAAATTATTAGATTAGCACTGTGTAATATAAGGTCAAGTTTCAGGGACTCACTTTTGAATAATCTAGAACTCTAAATTAATTCAGTGACTTGGACAAAGAATTCCTGGAACCGTGATCAAGGCCGGAATGCTTTGTATCCTCAGTGGCCCAGTTACTCCACATAGTAAATTTTGAAAGTGAGGACAGTGAGTGTGACTTATGGTTCAAAGAGCAAGTACAAGGTGAATTAAAGGTCAAATGTTCTGACATCCGGTGTAAAACTCCATCCCGTTCCCCCCTCCATAAAAACATACTTTGGGTTATATATGTTCTATAGAGAGAGCAGTCATACAGCACGCCTTCAACAGGATATCTTTTACAGCTGAATTACACACAAAAAGACTTCAAGAAAAGAACTTAATCTAAAAACTGCTTATCCACGCTTAGTCCTGCTTTAAAGAGCTACGCCTATCTGAGTGAACCTCTGTCTGTCTTCAAGAATATGAATGAAAAGAAAAAAACTGGAAAGAAGGGTAAAGTCCTAGAAGAATCTCACTACCTGAAAATGCAAATAAAGGAGAAACTGGGCTAATTCTAAAAGAAGACAGGTTATAGAGTTACACACTGGGAGTGATTCGTTGTCATAGTTACAAGCAGAACCTGGTCTAGCCTTGACGTCAGCATTAGTGAAATGGAGAGGTGGAGAGGCGCACCCTAACCCTTTCTGTAAGGCACAGAATTAGAGACCAAAGAAAAGCCTAAATATTGCAACCAATTTAAGAAATTAAATGAGATTCCAAAATTTTTTTGTAAAAAAACAGAGACTCAGAAGACAACAGTTCACATCACAGTCTCATCTCTGCCACGCCCCATGAGCCACACAGACACCAAAATGTGCCTTGCTTTCTGAGTCTGCAACAGCAGAACCCTCTTGTACCACAAGTTATGGGGAGGTTTTTATAATGTAAATTAGGAGATACACAAACACTTGATTTCCTGCATCTTTAGTATATGAGTCACTTTTACAAATACTTTTACAAATACTTCTTTTCTAGCAACAGATTCCAACCTAAACAGGCTCATTAGTTCAAATATGTTTGCCTCCCAGTGGAAGCGATGTCACCTCAAGCTTCACTTGTTGCTTTGGGCAACACCACACTGATAAAGACACGGGAGTCGTGGAACAGGCTGCACAGGGCAGGATGCTGCTGAGAGCAAGATCCTGGCCATTTTTATTGATAGCATAATCATAGAGCAGCAGCTACATGCGTTAGGAGGACAAGGAGAAAGGGATGGGTGAAACTCCGGAATGTTATCTCGGGCTTGGGGGACCTGAGTCTGCTGACCATGTTATCAGCTTGATGACCAACTGTTGTAATCGAAACTAGACCCCAGACCCTCGACCACGGTGCTAATCTTATCAACAAGGCATTCCACTGATCAGCTTCTGGGGACCCTTGTCATACTTTGGTCCTTGGCCCCCGCCCCAGGGTGTTCCTGGTCATACTTCATGATGTATGAGTCGGGAGTAAGTTTATGCAACTGTCCTCAGCCCCCCGGCTGTTCCCAGTCATACCTCTTGATGCATACCCTTCCCAGAGTGATCAAGTTTTCTACTCTTGATTGATATGAAAGGTACCTTGTAAGGTTTGGCTCATATGACTGTAACTGGACAGTTCTGACTTTTGTATAGGAATGCAGAACTGCAGGAAACTGTAATGGTGGCTGAACAGGCTGCTTAAGTCTAGCAGACCCACAACTAAGTGACATAAAAGGATTGTTGTAGAGTTAAACAAGCACAAAATCATAGTATGTTTCTTTATAATATTTTTTACAAAATTAAAAAAATAATATATTAGTTTAAGATTTAATGCAACTATAGTAAAAGTCCTATAAGGTATCTTATGTGTAGAAAAAAGATCCAAGGGCATTTTCATAATCATGAAAAATTAAGAAATAACTTAAATAATCAGAAATAAAATTTTCTATGTTTATCCATTTATAGTAACCACACTATCAAAACCAGAAAAATTTGTTAAAAAATTTAAGTTTAAAAAAATTTCTAAGAAGGCACTTAATTTACAACAAATCTACATAAATCAGTTCCTACCAGCATAGAAAGAGGCAGGCAAGTCTTTGGAGAAAAACAGAATTCAAAACAGCCCTGGGTATAGATGAGAATTAATACTTAATAAAGGTGACATTTCAAATTAGTGGACAAGTAAATGCATGAAAACAAGATACTAGCCATTTAGCCACTAAATTTATAATGTTTCCTGATGTTAAACACCAAGGTAAATCTAACTGGATTAGAAGAAATTTATAAAAGTAAAATGATAAAGGTGCTTGTAGAAAAAAATAGGATGGTTATGTAATTTACACAATCTGTGCAACCAAAAAACCTAAACAGAATGTCACAAGATAGACTTGTCACATAGCAAAAACTTCTTGTAGCAGATGCATGTGCACGCTCACACACACATACACACACACACACACACACGGCAAATGGCAGGTTAGAAAAATATTTGCTATCCCAATTTAGATATGTCCATATCCTCGATAGCTAGTACATTTTTGTAAATTGATTAGAAAATGAAAAACATTCCAGCAGAAAACTGAGCGAAGGACATGAAAAGGAAAGTCATAGAAGGAGAAATGGAAATAACCAAAGGACCTTTCTAGACCTATAAACGTTCAAACTGATTAGTAATAAATGCAAATTAAAACAGTAATGAGATGTTATTTTCCACTTACCAAATTGATAAAGATTAAGAAAAAATTAACAGGGCAGGGAAACAGATACTCTTTCTTTTCTAAGGGGAGTAGTAACCTCTCTGGAGGGACTTTGGCAATACATTCCAAAGTGTTATAGAATGTGCATATTTTTGACCTAGTAATTTAATTTGTAGAAATTAATCCCAAAGAGGTAATCATGAATGTGTAGAAAAAAGATCCAAGGGCATTTTCATAATCATGAAAAATTAAGAAATAACTTAAATAACGAGCAATAGGGTAAACTTACATTAAGTCCATACAATGGAACACCAGCAACCATTAAAACTAATGGTAGAGAAGAATATTTAATAACATGGAAGGATATGCCCTTTCAGATGAATAAATCAGATGACATATTAACAGTTTTATTTTTTAAGAAAACATACAAAGCAGAAATTTAGAAGGATGTACTATACAGCCAAAGCTTTCACAAGGTTATCATTGACTGATGAATTATGAATATTCTTAAATTTATTTCTTTTACTTGTCCATGTTCTCAAAAATTCCTAAAATAAACATGTATTACTTTTGATGTAAAAGAAACCAGTAAAAGCTATTAAAATTTAAAAATGGAAAATAAATTTCTTTGGTAAAAAATAACACAATTCTCATCAAAAGGCATAATAGCTTTCGAGAATGTTAATGTCCCTCTTCTATTTTTTAAGACCTTGCTACCTTTAAACAAGGTAGCTACAAAAAAAGCAAAGAAACTAGAAATTCTCAAATTCATGAGAAAAACTTGTTGATTATAGTTAACTTTTAGCAAACACCACAGCTGATAGCTGTTTTCTTAGGATACAAGTCTGCATTGTCGGCAGATTTTTATGGAGCCTAGCTTCCTGCCTATGACTTGATAATTTTGTCACTTCTCTCTTTCATTGATATTATGGCAGAGTCCCATTAGCTGTGCATCAGAGCAGACACTGCAATTTTCAAATGTATCTATCCATGACTGTAAGCCCATACTTTAAAAGTTAACAATGGTTATCTCTGCACAGTAACACAGCCTGTCATCATGTCTTTAATATATAAATACACGCCTTTTAAATTGTCTATAATCAGAATGTTACTATTGTGATAGCATATTTGCTTCTTTTCTGAAGAAAATGACAACAGAAATATATTAAAATATTAAAGAGGTTGCTTTTTATTGTGGGAGTAAGCTTTCCTTGAAAAAAAATAATTTTCTTTGTTTTTTTGGTAATTGACAACGCATGCTTTTATTATACTATTATATACTTAGATATTCAAATAAGTACATAGATAATGTAGGTATTTCCAAATTACATGTATTATCCTCTCTCTGTGCATATAACATAGATTTTTTTTTTTAAGATTTATGTATTTATTTATTTATACAAGCACTGGGTACAGTTAGAAGCACGGGAGGGTGAGAGAATTCACCAGAGCCAGAGCGGGGAACAAAACAGACAGACTGATGAAATACACTGCTGAGGGGAGCAGCGGGCGGCAGGTGAGGTCTGCGCACCATGTGGGACCCTCACCGGCTGCTGGGGATAGAACTGGCGCTGCAGAGGCTGTGGGCAGCTTTGCAGCTCAGTGCTCAACCACTGCGCCACCAGGGGAGGCCCTATAACATAGATATTTTATATATATATATATATAGTCGTGCAATTAAGTTTATTCTAAAGCAGTTTTTTTTTTTGTTTTTGTTAAATAGCTTGTCTTTGGAATTCACGTTGATGCTGAAGCTCTTATTTTTGCAATATAACATATCAATGTAATAATATGGCATCATTTATTTTTCTATTGGTATATTGATTCTTATGTGGCATAGAAGTAGAATTGCTGAATCAGAGAATGCATTCACTAAATAACAAATCATAAAAAATTGTTCTATTGTTGCTGAGTTAAGAGTTTGTTGTATATTTTGGATATAATCCTATATCAGATATGTGTTTTGTAAATATTTGTTTCCAATCTGTGATTTGTCTTTTATTTCTCTTACCAGTTTCTTTGGCAGAGCTTTTTAAAATTTTAATGAAGTTCTACTTATCACAATTTTTTTTCTTTCACAGACTGTGCTTTTGATGTTGCAAATTTACAAAGTCATAACCAAATCCAAGGTCACCTAGAATTAATCCTAAATTATCTTCTAGAAGTTTGATAATTTTGCATCATATGTTCAGATCTATGATCCATTTGGAGTTAATTTTTTTGAAAGGTGTGTGTTCTGCATATTTATATATTTATTTAAATATCTATGTATATAAGAGTAGAATAAAAACATGCATTAAAAATAGAAAAAATATAATCAATTTCCTATCTTCTAAATTTCCTATAAAAATCATTTCACACTCTCAATAGAAAAATGCCTTCATATTTATTTTTGAAAATATAAAAATATTGAAATCTAGGCCATGGTCTAAACTGTGTAAGTGAAGTAGGAATCCCAGAGGACAGGTTGGATCCCTGCCTGTATGGATTCTGTCCCAAACTGTGGATCTGCTTGGTAGCTATTCTGTTGGAGAAGAAGTGGTCCCATGGGTGTTGCAAGCTTGTTGGGTAGACCATCTTTGGGGACACCATTTTAGGAGAGTTAATTACACATGCTCCCAACTGAGAATTTCTCTGGACATCTCTCTCTATGGATAGAGGCCAAAGTACAGGCAAGCACGTCTGGCCCAGAAATCTCAGTGAACATGGGGAGTTAAGGAAAAACCACTTTTCTTCTTATAAGGATTGATTGGCTTGCACAGGCCCAGCTGGAACGCATGGGGCACATATCCTCCTTTGCATCGAGCCATTGCATTTGTTGGCGCTAAGGGGTCTGTCAGCATTTCATTATAACCCCCTATTGTCAGGGGTTTAGAATTCAGCCATAAAAACTTGCACTGAGCTGGAACTTGGCACACACTGCTACCGCCAGGAAGTGAAGTTTGTATGTGAAATTGAAAAAACATCTGTTTGGCCATTTTTGAAGTGGTGTGAGAGCAAAAGCAGTAAAGATGCAGGTTTTTGATACTCTGCATTGGCTGTAATGCAAGTCAACTTGACCGAGAGACTTGGCTTTATTTCTTTTTAATGTCTCTGGCAAGTGATTACTCTATGGCACGGCCTGGCCACATCAGACTAGTTTAAAAAATAAAATGAAAAATCATAGAATGGTGTTTTCAGACACATGCAAGTAAATTGATGAAATGGTTTCCCCTGTTGTTGCTGTTGTTGTTTCTCCCCAGAAAAGTAAAGATTTAGCTGGATGGAAATACAGGTTAGATGCTATTCTAACGGACTCCATGGGGTAGTCAGTATTTTTGCAGTAGGGGAATTTTGTTGTCATGAATGCACAGTTTAGAATCCCATTCTGAGTGTGCAACTCCTTCAGAACCTTCCTCTGAAAATGAAGGTGCAAAGGAGCACAGAGACCCTGTAGCAGCCAAGAGGAATCTCATCACTCTGTTGCTGTTCCCTTTGGGCAAAATGCCTTCCTTTTCCTACAAGAAGTATGCTGGCTTCTTTTAATGGGTGATTTGAGGAGTTGGGGTGTTATTATTTTCCCATGGCAGTGGGACTGAGTGATCAAGAAAGGACAGAGGGAGAAAGCTGTCACCTACTGGAAAGAGAAGGGTCCCTACCTACCAAGGGCATTATCTACTCACAAACACCCAGCAATAAGCACTCAACCAAGCATTTTCATTCATCTTTTCTCTCCTCTCCCCCACAGCTCCTATCACCACACTATACATTTTATTATTATTTATTATTAACCATGTTTGGCCTACAAAAACAAAAAACCATATTACTCAACCTAATACATTTATGAATAAAATTGTGACAATTTTAATCATAGATGTATGCTTGAGTCCTATGAAAATGGCATTTTTGGAAATTGGAAGGTGGTCATATCACATAGTTTAGGCTAATACTATATTAAATATATATTAAATATTTCTATATTTAATATATATTTAAAATAGAACATTTCTATATTTAATATATATTTAAAATAAAATATTTCTATATTTAATATATATTTAAAATAATTTAAAAACATGGTTTTCTGATCTGATGACATGTGTTCTAATCCCAATTTACTTGTATATGACTTACCTAAGTAAGTCATTTCATAATCCTTATATACTCTAAGACAAAATGATAATAACTGTTATTAGTATATCCATGGACAAGGGTACTAGGAGGATCTGACTGGATTCACATGAAAATGCTTTTTTGAGCTGTAGAGTGGAATGCAATTGTGAATGACTCTTGTTGTCATCACATTATGATGCTGGGTTGCCAGAACTGGGGCTCTCCTGAATGCAGACCTCTGGCAGGGACCCTTTTTGCACACAGGGTGCCCTCTCCAGAGGATGCAGGAGACAAACCTTTCCAAGATCTCAGTGGCAGAAAAATCACATTTCTCCTGAGCAACTAAAAATAAAAAAAATGCATAGACATGAAATCTTATAACAAGATTTCTCTCCCTGCCTGACCATCTTGTAATCTTAGAACCAAATTAATGGTTGCCTTGAAAAGATCAAAAGGCATCCATATCAGTCTTGGATTCATCTAATTTTCCTAACCATAGATATTTCTCTCCTCTTGGTTTCCTATACTTTTAACATTCATACTGCCAATCTAACTATTAGAATTCTCCCAAAACATTTTTGGAACAAGGTAAAAGCAAATCATCTAAATAAGCTGCTACTAGATCCCTCATCTAACTGGCCTGGGCCATCCAACAAGACACACACAGAACTCATGTCTCTGAAGCGACAAGATTTTAGCTGGACTAGAAGAGGCATCCTCCACCACCTCTGCTACTGGGTTGCCTCATCCCGCTGCAGAATGTGGGGTGTTGAGAGCATGCGTCAAACAAATAACCCAGAAAGAAGTCACGGGTGAGCATGCTCAGGGACCCACAGACCACGGAGGCTGAGCGAGGCTGCCCGCTCTGCAACTGTGGTGCTCCTGAGCTGCCGTGGAAATGGCCATGTGCTGTCCTTTGACCCGCTCCTGGCACAAGGGACCCACTCTGGGCGCGTCTGCTATAGAGCTTTGCAATAAGATCCAGCATATCAAGAACATTGCACTTGGTCCCTTCAGACTCTCTCTGGCAGCTTCTCCCCTGGCCTGGTGTATTCCCTAGGTAGATTTGAAAAGTACATATTCTCTCTGGCTCCTGGGGCCATTGTGCAAGCCCCCGGGTTTGCCCCCAAAGCAACATGAGTGAGTTTTCATAACTTTCTAGAGCATCTGGCTTGCTGCTAGCTCACAGATTAAGATTAAGAGGTTTCTTCTCTATATATCACACTCCCACAAGATGTCCATTTTCATCTCTCTAGAGGTATAGAAGGGAGGGGAGAGTCATGTAACAAAGTAAGAAGGGAGTATGGGGTCATATACAAAATAACTTGAAGTCATAAATTCTGTGTCTCAACTCTTGCTCTGCTCTACTCTAGCTGTGTGATCTTGGAGAAGTGAGTTAATTGCTGACTTGGAGATAATAACACTGACCTCTGAAGGTCTATGAAGATGAAATAAAACACTACATCTGAAAGCACCTAAGGAAGAGTATATACAATGCTATCTGAAATGGAATCTTAATTCTTTGCCGCCACCTATGCAACCCACATATACTCTTTCTCTGTTAAAAGGGAACGTTTCACTCCTTTTCTTTCTCCCAGAGGCCTTGAATAACCAAAAGAGTCCAAGTCTAGCTAAGGGGAAAGAATGAAAGGCAGCATAGCTGCCAGGACATTGGGTTGCTCTTCCATAAGTGAGTCAAATGTAGGATGCAACTCACCCTCAAAAGGCTGAGTAGTAAAATGCAGAGACAGAGAAGCAGGGAAAGTCGGACAGATTGAGGGAGTACTTACTTCCATAAGGGGAGCCAGTGGGGGAGCCATTGAGAAATCCCGGTGACCCTGGAACGCCCAGGTTGGCCATGGGGACATTGCTGTAGCCGTTCATACTGTTACTGGAGGTGCTGTAGTTGGACTGCTGGGGGTGGAGCTGGAAGAGTAGCCACGTGGAGAGATGCTGCTCGTGTTGCGGATGTATCCTGGACATCAGAGAAAAAGCCCAGATCAATCAGCCAGTGCACACACAGTGCCCCACAGGTACAACTGCATGGGCAGCGTGGTGCCCACACTCTACCATACCACCCACCTGAGCCAGGGCAGCTGACCTGGGGCAGGGGTGGAATGCCCACTGTTCATGTAGCCTTTTGATATCTTCCTCTTTCTTCCCCATCCTCCATAAGGCCACATCCCTGACAAGTCCTCCTTCCTCCTCTTTCAAATTTGTAGCCACTATCTCTAACTCACATCAAAGAGTGAATAACTAATGGCAGAGTGTAGTGACATCTCCAAGTCACATTGCACACAATATTACAGCCCTACAAGATACTAATGGGTATCACTAAAAAAGTTATTCTGTGATCAAATAAAGGTTGGCAGATGTTGCATTCTGATCTAGAGAATAAATAAGCTGGTTTAACTTTGCTAACCTATTGTTTCCAAATTTAAGCCACTGTAGCATCTTTTCTGGGAATGGAGGGGGAAAGGTATCCTAATGACATCTCAAGGGCTGCAAGCGTTCTGCAGATCAGAGCTTTGGGGAGGTTAGTTCAATGTTGTTACCATGCCCTGGGTAAGGATGGGAACATTTTCATTCAAAAAGTGTTGAGAAGCTCATCTAAATGTGCTGTTCTTTGACGGAGGACTTGGAAGCATCAGTAATTGAGTCTGTGAGCAGGATGAAACCCCAGCACAGAGACATCTCCTAATCTATTGTGAAATAACCCACTTCGGATGACTGTCTCCAAAGCTATTTAAGAAATGACCCAAATTTGGAGGAAAAAAAGGTAATAATATGTTCCATCCACACTGCTGCAAGAAGAATTCATCCTGGACATGAGAATGAGGAATTCCCTTCTATTGGATGAATTAAATTAGAAATGAAACTATCCCAAGATTAAGGATATCATTAGAAACAACCACTCCTTTTAGAAAATGAGTTATGACCAATTTAGCATCTTAGTAAAATTAACCTCAGTGACAAAAACCATTAGAAGATACATTTTATGTATAAAAGCACAGTTCACAGTGGAAATATGTTGCTATATATTTATATGTGAGATAATTCACAAATAGAAGTTACCAAATAAAGCCATGCCATTCATACTCAGTTACTAAGAAGAGAAACTGGGTATAATAAATGATAATGACAATAACTCAGCTTCTTGCCGTTATTCAATCTGAGTATCACAGCAGAAAAGTATAAACTTTATTCAAATAATACCAATCAGTCTAGTTTCAGTAAGCCAAAACCTGTCTAAACTCATAATAGTCAACCTTATCCTTAAATATTTCCAATGAATGGAATTCTACCTGGGATGTAAAAAGCTCTAGCTATAATGTATAATACACTACTATGTGTATATTATATGCAACAATGTACTGCCTATAATGCTAAGATAACTCAACATGGATTGTATTGCAGTTCTTGGCCATACATGAATCTAGCTGTCATTTTTTTTCCATTCTGGCAGAAGCAACCTTTTAAATGTATTTTGACTCTGAGAAAGGCTGTACCTTGATTATTTCCCTGTGTTGACTCTGAGATGCTGACCCCGAGCTGGCTGCCATAGGAATTGATTCCCATCATGCCACTGTGAGCTGGAGAGCTGGAGAGAGCTGGGATCTGGCTGGGATTCCTGGGGACACTGTAGAGGGCTTCAGCAATGTCTGCGGCTCGCTTCAAAATGATGTCCTGAAAAACAGTTGAGGTGAGCGTTTTATCCAGCACAAAGAGTCAAATTACAACACAATGTAATACACAATACAGGGTAATAAGATGGGGCCATCTAACCTGATTATTGTGTGGTGTGCCATAGAGGGCCTCCACTAGATCTGCAGCTCTTTTCAACAGCATTTCCTAGAAAAAAGAAAAAAAAAGTGGAAGATAAAGAAAGGGAAAATCCAAAATGGTAAACACTAAGAAAATATATGTATCTGAGTCCAGGCATTCCCCTAAAATGTAAATAGTTAAGAGGTCCTGTTTTTGGTTGAACAGGCAGAATATAAGCATACATATAAATCCCCCTGTAAATATGTGTCTACATGGGATTTATAAATCCCAGCCGGACAAAATGGCAGCATAAATGGTCGTGCTACCAAAACAACCAACCACCAAGTAAGGCTGGAGTTGGTTAAAATGAATAATGTCATCCAAGTTGTATTAAAAACTATTTTCAGATGATTCCACTAAAAAATCTGGTACTCTAATTAACCAAATATTCTTAAAATGATTGATTGACCTGAGTTTAGCTGCTTGCCAAGGAGTTGTCCAGAGTACTGAAATTATCTTGGCAATGCTTTCTGCAAAATTTTACTCTAATAAAGATGAATTCTTTCAATAATATTTCCCCCCCGTTCACTTTAACCAGGGAGAATTAGTAATCAGTAATCCCTTTCCTCTCATTTTGTCTTTTCCACCTCCTGTTTTTTACAGCCTTTTAAATTGCTATTAACCTACTTTCCAGATATCATCTAATTTAATGGTGGGGCTGGGGATTTTTCCAAGAGGAAAATAAAGGTATGATGTAGAAGCAATTGTAGTACTTGGATTTTACTCACCGTACAGAAAAAAGAACATGGTATTTTATAATTCATGTGCTTAGGTGAAAATATAAATGTTCAAATTTAATAATTCCTCATTAATTGAATGTCTAATAAATTGACACATTTTAAAATTTAAAAAGCTAAAATAATGTGCTAGATTCATGATATAACAGTCATAAGCAAGTACATTTAAAAGTGATATATTTCATAGCAATTTTATATGAAGGTGTTTTTCACTTCATTAAATACCTGTGTACATACCAAGTCCTCAATGAATATGTGATTATGGGTTAATGTATCCATGCAATCATGGGTAAATAAAATTGCATTTAAATTCATAGGAGTGAGAACTTACACTTTTAAGCAATTATACTATTATTTATTTTTCATAAAGTTGGTAATGTTTTATAAACTAAATTCTCTTGTAATATGCATGTTTTATAAGCCAATTTTTCATAGATTAATCATAACATTTCTGTGCATCATGTATCCAAAGCTCAGTCAAATTTTAAGGCTTCATGTAATTTTAAGGGGACTAAAATTGTTGAATTTTTCTCAGCTTGCTGAAATCCTACAAGAAGACTTTGATATGTGCATTTCCAAAGCATTTTTACCTTAGCTAATCTCTCAGGATCCCCAGGATGCCGTGGGATGACTTTCTGGAGCCTCTGGAAGCCATAGTCTATGGTGGGTTCATTTAATGCTGAAAAACAAAATTCTTTTCTGAGTATGTATCCTGGTCATAAGGCAAAGATTCTAATTAAGTCTTCCATAGGTAATAGAAAGGCTCTGATATTATCCATCTATGAACATGACAGATACAATCAATTAAGAATTTTTGTTACTGACATGCATTAATTCACACTGATAACTTTAAATTTACAGTAATTTAATGTCTTTCCATTACAATAATATTTCAAAATGTCAAGATTAGTACAATTATTTTATCATTTCTGTCTTAAATACACACACATAATTCTCTGCTCACTTTCATATAATCAGAAATAATGTACTCTCACCAAATCCAAAATTCTTATGAAGAAAATAAAGTTCCTTTATACTCTTTTTCATTCTTTTCCTCTTTTCTTTTCCAAGTATACCTTTATTACCTATTAATTCATCTCCTAAAAGTCACTTTTGCTTAATTATTTTCTTAAATACTTGTGTATATAAATATGCCATCTATGAATTATTCTCATAAGCCCTATTCTTATGCATAATAGACTTTCATAATTTCCAGTTCTATTTCATTAATGTACATTGATTTAATGGCAGGCTCCCCATAAACTCAAATTCCACAGGAGCAGAACTCATATTTCTTTTGTTTTGCCACTGTGTTCTCATTTTGAAGACAGTGCCTAGCACTTAGTAGGCACTTAATATCAGCAATTGTAAAATGAGAGAGTGAGTGAATGGATTGATGACATATTTAAACATTTCCACCATGCTAAAGTGTACTCTTAATTGATTTCTTTCTCTTCCTTTCTCTCTTCCTTCATTTTAAAAATGTTTGTGAGAGAAACCCCACCAACTGGGAGAACATTTTTGCACCCAACACTAATGATAAAGGACTGATCACAAAAATCTGCAAAGAGCTGATGAGACTCAACAACAACAAAGAAAATAATCCAGTCAAAAAATGGGCAGAAGAGCTTAAAAGAAACTTCTCTGAAGAGGAAATGCAAATGGCCAACAGGCATATGAAAAAATGTTCAACATCACTTGTCATCAGGGAAATGCAAATCAAAACTACCATGAGATACCATCTTACACCAGTGAGAATGGCACATATTAAAAAAACTAGCAACAACAAATGTTGGCGAGGGTGTGGAGAAAAAGGAACTCTTCTGCACTGTTGGTGGGAGTGCAAACTGGTCCAACCACTGTGGAAAGCTGTGTGGAGATTTCTGGACCTACTAAACATAGAGCTTCCATATGACCCAGCAATTCCACTCCTAGGTATTTACCCAAAGGACACAGAAACATCAATTCCAAAGAACACCTGCACCCCTATGTTTATAGCAGCACTGTTTACAATAGCTAAGCTTTGGAAACAGCCCAAATGCCCAAAAATAGATGACTGGATCAAGAAGATGTGGTACATATATACAATGGAATATTACTCAGCATTCAAAAAAGATAAACACATGCAATTTGCTGCAACATGGATGGCGCTGGAAGGGATCATGCTCAGCGAAATAAGCCAAAAAGAAAAAGAAAAATACCGGATGGTCTCACTCATAGCAGGAATCTAGAAAACTTAAATAATGGACCAGGAAAATGAAAAACTATAAGAAAGTGAAAATCAAAATCAACAAAAAACTATGAACCAGAGACACTTTTAGGGGGGCGGGGGCGGGAGGGGAGGGATTGGGGTCAGAATGGGGGGCGGCAATTGTATGGGGAATATAACAATAAAATTTATAAAAAAAAAAAAAAAAAAAATAAAAAAATAAAAATGTTTGTGGTTTAAACCTTATGGTTTTAAAATGAGTGCAAAAAGTTAAAAAAAAAAGATACGAAGAATAAATCAGCAACTGCACTCCTGTTAGGCAACAGCAAGCACATGGGTGTCTATTTTCTTTTTTATCCTCCTTTTTACATGTGCTATTGGTCTATCAAAGCTTCACCGTTTGTTTAAAGAAACTATAAAAAATTTTAAATATAGCAGTAAAAATGAAATCATCTGTAATCTCATCATCTGAGAGATGGCCTGGGTTGACATTTTTGCTTATATCCTTTCCAGGTTTAAACACACACATACTTAAAATTATTCAGACATAGTATTTATACTGTTTCATAAGCTACTTTTTATCCATTTCACAATCTATCAAACTTTTCCGCAGGTTATTAAATATTCTTTTATAACATTATTTAAAATCCCTCCATATTTTTCCATGACACGGTCTCTAATTTATTTCAATGACTTCCTAATGTTGAGCATTTAACATGATCTTAATTTCTCACTATTATAAAAATCAGAGCCATAATTATCCTTTGCGCATAACTTTAATTATTTCAATTGGAAAATTGCAAGAATTAGAATTACTGGACCAAAAAATTATGATTTATATTTATAAGGTCTTTCACACATACTATCAAATCAGTCTCAGAAGAATATATAAATTTATACTCCTTTTAGCATGCACTTGGTCATGTTAACTTATATTTCTCTGTTTATCAATGAGGTTGAAGATTTTTTCCTTATACTTGCTGATTATTTTCATTTCTTCTGTTATGAACTGCATATTAATGTTTTTTATACTTTTTTCTATCAGGGGTTAGTCTTATTCTGTTTTTACTTATGAAAGTACTTTATATTTACATTTTTACTACTCTATCATCATGTTATGCTATCATATCCCAATTTGTCCTTAGGTATTATGTGTAACCCAACTGCAAGATCTAGTAAATTCACACAGAAACACACACAGCACACACATGTGTGTGTGCTTATATACACACAGACATGCATATATGAACTCTTAAATTATTTAGCTTATCTGGATTTTCTTTTTATTGAATTGCATCTAGGCATTCTGTTTGTTTCACTGGTCTATGTTTCTATTCTGGGCTGAGAATCACACTCTTGTCATTATAACACATTTAATATTTGATAGTTTAATTGCTCCTTCACAAATAGATTAGTTTTTAAAACCACATTTTTCTGAACTAGACTTAATCTATTTATTCTTCCAAATGAACTTTAGGGAAATTCCTTTTACTTTTTATTTATTTTTATTTTTTACATCATTGTTCATTTTTAAACTATAGTTGCTTCCTCCCCCCAACCCCTCAGGTATAGTCCCCACAGAGTTTCCTTCCCCAAGGCACCCGTGCACCATCATCACAGTCCCCTGTGCTCCTCCCTCCCTCCCTCTGATCCCTCTCCCTCCTCCTCCCCTGCAGGATGTCTCTGATTTATAATTGTCTGTTTTTGTTTTGTTGTGTTTGGTATTGTTATTATTTTTTCACACTGATGTCTTTTTTTTAATTGAGATAACATTGGTTTACAACATAGTATATGATTTAAAGGCACAGGATCACATCCTCCAGGTGTGTGCCACCACAACACACCAAATTTCAAAAACATTTAGCTGCATTAAACCCCTAACCAGAGATACACTGTTTGCTTTATAATATCCCTTCCCTGTCTTTTTAATGTTCTCCTAGTAAAAAACAAAATGTGTTTAAAGAAATTATGGCCTAACAAATTCAATTTTTGCTCTTCATTTCTAGTTTTTTGGAAGATATATATCCCATTTTAATTTAAAGCAATATACCTTTACATATATATTTATGTAAAAATATTTTATTTTTTTCTAGTTACTTGAGTCCTTTGAGTCCCTCATACATAAGGAATTTTGTTCACCTTTAACTTCCCTACCCATTCTCTTTACCTTCCCATGTTTATTGATAGTTTATCAACTTGAGCTATATTACTATTACTATATTTTCTGTGATCTGTAGCTTTTAAACATTTTTATGTTTTCTATTAAGCTGTGTCATCATACTAACAATACTTTAGCTGCTTTATATTTAAATGCTGTCTATTTAATACTGTAGTTTGTTCATTCATCAGTGACTCAGTTCTCCCACAGTCACTTTACATCAGCAAAAATAAGGGTTGAATTCTTCTGGGCTCTTGAAATAAGAGATTGTTTCCCTGACTTCCTCCCACATGAATGACGACTTCTCTGGACACACAACTCTTTGGTAAACATTTTCTATTCAAGGTCAAACTTCTGTCTGTGCTACTTGTTCTCACTTCTCAAGGTGGGGACAGAGGACATCTGGGTGGGGGGCTGCCAGACTCTCTGCCTTTATTTCCTGGTCCTGCTGTTGTTTCCAGGAGGGGAGTGAAGTAGGGTCCAGCCTCTAACACAGCCCAGTCTATACACCAGCACAACAGCATAAAAGTTCTGGCATATTGATGAAGCTTAACTGCAAGCATGAATGTCAGATTTCCTTTATTTTCATGATTTTTTTTTTTTTTTTTTTATAGAGGCATGTTTTATTTATTTATTTATTTGTTTGTTCATTTGTTTTGTTTATACATGCACTGGGTACAGTCAGAAGCGCGGGAGGGTGAGAGAATTCACCAGAGCCAGAGCGGGGAGCAGAACAGGCAGAAGGACCGAAGTACACTGCTGAGGGGAGCAGCGGGTGGCAGGAGAGGTCTGCGCACCATGTGGGACCCTCCTCCGGTGGCCGGGAGCAGCCGGGAATCGAACCGGCGCCGCAGAGGCTGCGGGCAGCTTCGCAACCCAGCGCTCTTACCGCTGCGCCACCGGGGAGGCCCTCATGATTTTTTTTTAAATACACTCTGATATCTTCTGGAGTGGGGGACAAATTAAACACTTGCATTTACATTATCATCTTACTCAGAAACACATGTAAGAATAGCTGTGTGTATAACTGGAATTATTCTATTAACTCCTCCTCCCACCACCTTAGCATTATAATGTCAGAAATTTCTGAAGTTTTTTTCTTTAATAACAGGATGTTTAGTGACTGTAATATTCAATAATGAAAGCCTTTATTACCACGGTTAGTATTTGCTAAAGTTTATTATGCTACGGGCACTACGCTAAGCCTTTTACATGCTTTCACTTATTTCATCCTCATTATAACCCCACAGTGTGAATTTTATCCCCATTTTAAATGCAGTTCCAGCCAGTCAAGGCAGGAGCTATACCCTGG